CCACTTCCGAAGCCATGGCAGACGAAGTTCAAAGCCGAATGTGCGCCAATAATTTTCAAAAGAGATCGATTAAAACAAATCGGAAATAATGACGGCAGACGAGGTTGGTTTTCAGTCCACGCATACATGCAAAGAAGTGCAACATTTTGGCGTTAAAGTTTTTATTTCGCCCGCAGGGGTTTTGCAGAAAAATGCATTGTGCTTCTAGCCGCTGGCGCCCCACTCCACTGTTTACGATACTGTTTATTTTCCGCGCAATCCCCTGTAGGCACAAAACCCGACAGTTATACTTTTATTCCGACCTTTATGATCATAAAATGCATTGTGCTTCTAGCCGCTGGCGCTAATGCCCACTGTTTACGATACTGTTTATTTTCCGCGCAATCCCCTGTAGGCACAAAACCCGACAGTTATACTTTTATTCCGACCTTTGTATTATGATCATCCATGATGGTATGCCACCCACCGGTTGGGACGAAATAATATTATTATAATTACTATCATTATTACTGTCTACTTGTTCTGTCCATAGTCCTACTAAATCTTTTAACCGCACTATAAATTGATCAGTATACCGATGAAGCTAAAACATTACTGTTCACCCAACACAGCGTGTGCGAACGAGCATAAAGTAAGCAAAAAACTTACTTGCTGTGGCAAATTCCTTGACTGTGTTTCGGTGACACCTACCGAAACGATAAAAAGCTTTTCACCACGCAGATCGCCAATGGCTGTGTCATTTGGAATATGTACTGACATACAGGGTGTAATTATTGTTCGTGTAGTTCTAAGGTAACTTCCAAATCCAGCTTCCAAACCAGCTTTCTCACAAAAATTTTCTACCATCGTAACGGAGACATCGTGCAAAGATATTGACGGTCGTTGGAATGCGAATTCCAAGCTCACAACGGATATCTGGAGCGTTTAAATAACTCCTGACAAAACTACTGTTACATTAAGAGATTTTTAGTTTGAATAAATATCCCCAAGTGCTCAAACATCGTGCCACAGGTTCCTGTATTCAAGTTTGGGTTGCGCATCTAAGGGTCGACGCTATCATTCTGAATTTTGAATTTTCGCTCCCTTTCCGGCGTGTCGTACATTCTATCAAAAATTCGGTGCCCCTGTCGCATTGGTCATTTGCACTTTGTCTGTTCTAACGAATTCGTCGTTCTCTCAAAATGGATATGTTTGACGATGATCCCGCAAAATTTTGCCTTTAGTTGAGGCAATAGGTTCTCTCCTCCAAATTTCCGGCCTTTTCTTTGCAATGTGATTAATTGGGCTTATGTCACAGATGGGGATTTGTGCGCACGTTCTCAACCCACGTGCAGCTGTTGATCGTAACCGTCCAGTAACTGTATGGCCTGTCAATAGTAACGGTGGTGGCTATCTCGCTCGGGCTATGAAGCTGGTATTAGGGGGTTGTATTTGGTGTATGATATAAGTGGGAATATACCAAGATGAAAATTAATGATAAATAGGGCCGGAGAAAAAAGTTTTCCTCCCCTTTTATTGGTTAAAGTACAAGCGGACACTGAGTACCTTGCCAGGTCTAGTTGTTCACTTCGTGACCTGTTCTCTTGGGTCGTTCGTGAGAGCAATCCAGCCGCGTAATACCTTCCGTTAGATTGATACCGTGTCGTCTGCAAGGAAACTACCAAGCTTTGCGGACTGATGAGCATAATTGCAACTAGTGAATGCACCAAAAATAGCAGCATTCCAATAAATTGTTTATTGAATTATTAATATTTTTACGCCTGCTCGAGCTATCCTAGGATGCAGAGCAAACGACAAAAGCTAATGGGATGATAAAGTACGATGTGTTCAGACGGTTAAACAAAAGCAGAAGTCTGGCGGCCCCTCGACTAGGATCCGAATGCATTTGATATTAACTACAGTTCCTGGCGTGTGGCCAGTAGAAGAGAAATATCAGTTGCTGAGCAATGGCAGTGGTAAATATGGCGAGATTGGCAGTGTCCCATAGGGTGTAATGTGTGTTAGGCCCGGAATTTGGCAGTTATATTGAGGTAATGTGAGTAAACTTTCGATAGTCGCGGTTGATCGGTGGTCCCACTTCTGGTAATGGAGAAACGATACAAAGGATGTCAGTGGAGAATCTTATGTTTCGCATTTCACAATGTAGAGCTATGCTGCCAGTGAGCACAACCTTAATACGCACACTCTAACATCAAGCAACTAACCAGAATATTGGACATGCTTACAGGAGTCTTCTAAATATAGTGGGAATGTCAATAATGGCTATCAAAGGCGAAAACTATTATCGGGGCTCGAAGATGCATGATTCGGCCTCCATCTGATCAAGCGTTAGAAACAAGGCCAAGCTTAGTTACATAAGTGACGCTTCGTCATATTTTACGTCCATGAGTGCAGTATGGGCTCTAGCGGATCCCGTAAATTATTAAAACTGCAGAACTATCTGCAACTTTAACTCGCAGTGAGGGATATGAATTTAACCGCAAGCCGCGATATCTTATGAGAGGTATGTATATTGTTGCCTATTTAAAGTAACTAATCACTTTGAACTTTAATTCACCTAGCCAAACCATCTGTGAAGAGAATTTGCGAAAAATCATCGGACAGATATTCTTAACTATGAATCCCGAGAACACCGTTGTGTTCGCGAAATCGAGCCCATTCACCGAATAGAGAGCACAGGGCAGTGGGCACTGGATTAGAATAGATGAGCCAAAAGTGGTCTTTCCATATGTCACCCTGAAGGCACTCGGAAGCCGCCTTTGTCCCACACGGTGAGGATGGAGCGGAAAGCGTTACGAAGCGGTATGCCAATAATGCCTCATTTGCCTAGTTGTATTTGAGTACGTCGCTCCTTACGTCGAAAAATTTTGCGCAAATTCCTTACGGACTATTGTAACCTCTCATGGTATCTGGTACCAACTCACGGTTTGTTTGCGCAGGGGTCGGCCGACAACTATTTCGCCATAGGCCAGCAAATCGCTTTCATTTGTTATTTATTTCAGTCTGCGTACTGGCAAGTTTGCTGCCACTTTGAGGCCATAAAAAGAGGTATCTCAACATTTTGCGGCCTCTTCTTCGAAGAACCGAAGCAAGCTCGACCTGGTTGCATTGGAAACCACCGCTATCCCGTACATCAATCTGTGGATATTCGAGAAGACTTTTTGGTGACCTGATCTTTCGGCGGACTTTCTGAGTTGAATCGCGTCTCAAGGTCACATGACGCATGCTTGCCCCTCAAAGTCATTCAGGATTTTGTAAGTGAATTGTGAATCGTCTGGGGCCACTGTTCCTGATTAGTTTTAGGTATTTGAATCCAGTAAAAATCGATCTGGTGCATACCCAACAAGCGGCGTCCAATTGATGGATATCAGGGCTGCATGAATGCATTGATTTTACTTATTAAACTGACTCTGTTTCACGTCACTAGTGATAATAATTTCTTGTTTTATCGCTGTTTGGTGCCATTTTCAACTTGGTTAACCTGTGGAATCGAGAGATACATCGTGCTGGCTATTATCGTGAAGACATTTTAACTGTAAGGTGAACCTGACGTGTAGACTGATGACCCTGCCCGATAGTATTCTAAAGAAGTCTTGGAGGTACACAGAGTTAACCACGGTTAATTCAGATCCTAAGCAAGTGATGGTTCAGGACATTGTCGTTATCATTGATAGTATGATGTTAGTGTTCAACACTGATGCCTCCCTGCCGTAGGACCATAATTTATTTGTGAAGAACTGTGAAGAAATGAATAACAGTAGACAGGGATGAGACCTAGTACTAGTTTGCTACAACCATTCTGAGGTGCTTACACCCTCAGACACGCACTCAAACAATCTTGATAGAAGCTGACACAAAGAACGCCGTTTGCATCGATTAGCAGATATATCTTGCAGCGTCTCCAACCAGGCGCAGTGGAGGTCACCCCTCTCCCACCCTGGAAGGCGAATCGCGGCAACATCACAAACAAACGTTTCCCTATCTCTATCTGCCAGACGAACGTTGGCCACCTCTCTGCTTCCACCACTCCTCACTGTCAGCATCCTCATCGACAGCATGACATAAGTGTTCAACACCAGTGCTTCACTTCTCATTGTCTTCGGCAAGGGATGCTTCGGCATGCTTAATAAGTGGCCTAACCGACGCAGTTTCTGGTTTTGAACACATTCTCCAGTGGAATTCTCCGTTGTACAACAAAAAACTCACTGCCACTGGCCCGTTACGAATTCTCCAACATCAACCCACACGAACTATAAAGAACAAATCTTTCAGCTTTAGCACCCTTCCGGTGCCTAACTGTCGTGCCACCAGAAGGAAGCACGAGGGCTGGGATGCTGTCAGGTCACTCAAGCCAAGACAGGGTAAGTCATGGGATAAAGGTCGGGTTCGAACCACGGACCTTCCCGCCAGCAAATTCGCGCTCTAACCACACCCATCCCCCACGAACTATGGTCTTGAGACAATGATTGTGGAACGCCTGAAGACGTCTCACTTCCGCTGCTCAGACAGGCCATGTCTCAGCCATACGAAACAGCCCCCACTTTGTAGCCTGATACACACATCCCTTGAGATTCAGGGATATACCGCTTTAACGCCGTATGTATCTCAAATTAGCAAACGCGACGCGAGAGTTGCAGATTCTTTCATTTGCTTCATCTACCACACTACATTTTGAACTAATACGGCTTCCAAGAGAGGTAAAATGCTCCGCAACTTCCAGTACTTCCAGTGTGCAGCGACTGCATGTCCACGAGCATGACCTTAGACTTTGTGGCTACCGAAGGACAGGGTGACTTTGGTCAGTTCATCCAAAAATGCCTGCAGTTTCTCTTCGAAAACGTGAAAGATGTCGTTAGCATATTCCAAATCCACAAAGTTTACGTCACAAGCTATTTCAACGCCGGTGTTTTGAAGACCTTTCGGCTCGTTATCTCATTGGTCACGAAATTGAATAGAAATGGAGAGACTGGACACCCCTTTATGTATGGAAGCTTCTAGAGAGCTATCTGTATATTGTCAAATATCCAGGACAGGTAAGGAGGTTTCCACTAGATGGACAGATGTGGATGTTTTCGCTGGCTAATACAAATGGATGGAAGGAAGCTCCGATGAATACTGACCGTAGTAGTAGCAGTATTGTGAAAAACGCTACGTTCTTATTATATGATAGTGTCCTCAGGTTGTCAGTTAATATTGCGGGGTGTTCTTGTCAGTGGAAAGTACAGTTTTGCTTTAATTGGAATTAAGGATGGTTTGGTAAGAAGACCTATTCTCACCCTAAGCATAACAGCAGTGGTTTAGGGTGGGTCTGGAAATACGGAATGAATCGATATGTTGGCTTCCTCAAAAAGCAAACCATTCTTCCTGGGCGTATACACTGTGAAGTGCGTCGTGTCAAGACAAAGATATCCAAAGGACAGGCCTGGAAAGTTTACTGATGAAGAATGAGAAATGTTTGCCTAACCCATAAATAGGCTTAGATCGGTGGTGGAATAACAAAGTGAAATGAACGCCTTGATGGATTAATGGAGGTTTGGTTTAAAATACAGGGTAAGTTCTTCCAGGGTAATCACTTGCTTCACTTCAGTTTAATTTGTATCTTAGTAACGAATGTCCTCTTGTAAATTGTTCAATGTAAAATCCTGTTTTGTGTGTGTTCAACTCCACATGAACGGAGCTACCAGCGACATTTATCCATAGCCATTTATTATGTCGCGCTTATACTGCGGATGTCGGTGCACCGCACGTTCATTAAAACTTCTAATGCTACTAATAAATTCCAGTGTTCGACGCTGACGGGATATGATAAGCTGTTTCATTAGGCCTTTTACTAGGCCTTACAACAACTGCCTGAAATCTAATCTGAAAAAATACCGCCGTTTGGAGAATAAAATGAAAATTTAAGATCCAAAAAATAGATGAAATCTCAGTGAAGAATTTCATCAATGTCACTGTCATCATTGACAGAAGCAATGATACTTCGGCGACCCACAACAGTGTACATTTATCTGACTAAAGCCTTATAATGGAGGGGAAAAAATGGCATGACAGTGCAGTTTTTGGTGAAAAATAATCAAAATTCGATAAGCAGTCATGCAGCAACACACACTTTCAAGCAGATGTTGATGAATGTACGAGTCCTTTGCTAGTTTGCTTAGTTCGGACCGCAGTGCGGAACACAGTTGAATCAGCTATTCGGACGCCAACTGTGTTGATAGCTACTAAAAAATATGCGAAATTAGTCACTAAACTTATGGGTGCCCCTCAGTGATCTTGTCGCCTTGGTGACCTTTCCGTGCACTAATCATCACCATCATCATCGACAACATGACATGCATGCATGCACTAAGCTGACGAGTCAATCGATAGGCTTGGTTTTGGACATCATCTAAAGGTCAGAGGGTTCCTCCTTCCTGAATGACATTTTAGCTTTACGTACCTGAAAAATCACTAGGCTTAGGAAGTTAATGAGTGAAATAAAACCTATCATATTGGTTAGAAAGCTTAACAATGCTCAAGATGTCGTCGCCTAGAGCAAAGATTTTAAAGCAATGCAACCTACCCGGTGTCTCACCCTGAACGTGATGGTAGTCAGTGATTGCTTGTGCCTAGTCGTCATCCATTAGACCATATCTCAGGAAGTAGTGGTACTGGGAATAGTGCAGTGGTGCTGTCTGTTAAAGAATGGATCCTTCAGGTAATGGCATGGGGTGGCAGCACGAATCTGTAAGGTAATAGGTGTCATGCATCTTTACTTGCAAAGAGCAGCCGTGCACAATTACTCCAATCCAACTGCTTAAGACAGGTTGCAGCCCGAACAACGGAATTCCAAAAAGATTGGCGTACGAGGTGTCGTCAGACAATTTTCGATGTGCCTATGGCAACAACACGTTTCACCAGAAGAGTTCAAGAAGCTTAATTACACACGTAAGGCACCACATCAGCCATTGTGGTGCTCGATCCCTGCTGGTGTTCATTCACTGTCGAAATTGGTCCAAGAACATCAAGTAAAATGGGTGATGGGGATGGGCCAGTGGCTTTTGAAATCAGGTGGTGTGCCTTGTTTAGGAATTGGAAAACGGCCGGCGTAGCCTGAGGAAAAACGCCGATTTGAGCGGTCTCACTCACTTACCGGGTGTGAAACAGGTGTTTCGTGAATGGTAATTCGTGATAAAGGTTGACGCAAATTCAATAAGGGCAAATGAGTTGGTTCCGCTCCACAAACGGGTGCGGATTGAGGAAAAAGATAAAAACTCGAGCTTGATTCCCTTCCTTCTCAAAAAGCTGGGATTCCGGACACACGAATGGATGGAATTAGGAGTAACGAGTTGTGACTGGCTTCGCTTGTCAAACTTACAAAGGTCAACTAGTTGGAGTGTCTTTTTGTAGCGAATTTTTCCCTGCTTTAATATGTCACAGACTGACAGTTATAATGTGCGACAGTATGGCCAGCGCGTGTGGGGTATCCGCTGACGTTGCAAAATGTCTTTCGTTATCACCAGCGGGCATATCTTATTAGCCTTTTTGGGCTTGCCCGCTCCCCTGGCGGATTGGCTCAGAGGAAACACTCGCGAATTTCCCAGCAAATACAAGTGTTTTCCGAAAGGCGATACACATGAGTGTTTGTTAGAAAATTAGCACACATCACCTCAGTCAGCGTCAGAGTATTGTCACGATGTGTAGCTAGAGGTCTTCCGAGTCAAAAGTGGGTGACAAGAATTAGTAAGACGATCTGAGGAGCCTAAAGGGACAGACATGACTGACGACGTGTCAGAAATGGATCGAGTGTCTGGAATATCACCTCATGGGCCAGGGACTCCGGTTGGACAAGCTAAGTTTAGGAGTTGTCGAGAGAAAGGAACTCCGTTCAACGGTCTGCAGGATGCTCGCGAAGAAAAAAACATGGTAGAATGTGAAGTTGGCGAGAATGTAAACGTCCGCACGGTGATTGCACTGAAGTATATGTTCACAATTGACCGGCTGAATAAAAAAGAAGGGGTGTGCAATCGATAAAAACTGAAAATAGTTGCTGAATCGGGAGGATTTAAATGTGGTCCAAAACGGCTGAAAATTAGGGATGTAAGGGATCATGGACAAACGAGGAAGCGTGTATGAAGGCGTTTCCAACCCAAACGATTTGATATTCACAGGTGACCGGAGGAAACAAGGTCACCCGATATGCTTAATATGACCAAAGGCTCATTGACTGTAGTCTCGGCTACCGGTGCCCAGTAACACACGACCGATCTTTGATTTTTCGCGCTACTCCATCACCCTACCAATTAGGCTCTTTAGCCAACGGCACCGATGGTTCTGGAATGTCCCGTTTGCTTTGTTAAAGGCTCTTCCGGAAAGCCAAGCCCTTCATGTTGTTCGGGTGGGTGGCAGCGTTGCGTATAGGAGCATAATGTAGTGGACCTACTCCCAAACAGACTCTTCTAAGTAGCTCAGTAGTCTAGGTCCGAATTTACTGGCCGGATGGTCCGTGATTCGAACCCAACCTCAGCTTCTCGACTGCTGCTGTCTAGCCTTAGGCACCTCGGTAGTATCTCAACCCTCGTGTTTCTTTTGGGTGGCATTGCAGCTAGGCACATAAAGGGTGTTACTGCTGAACGATTATTATTATTACTAATGTTATTGTCAATATTAATTTCCCACCGATCACTAGAACAGCATCTTTACCACTTTGTCGTGAGATTTTATCTTATAACATTTTTGCGCCACTAGTAAAGTCAACTCCAGCAATGGAATGTTCCAAGAAATGTATTTTCTCTTAAAAACTACTGCCATTGTGGTTTCCCACGTTCATTTTCTAGAGCTTAAAATAGAACTTGTTAGAATGCCAACCTAATGTACTACATCCCAGTGAGGCCACCTCTTTAGTTGGTGCTGACGACTACGACCACGGTTGACAACAAAACGCCAGTGACAGCCGAATTGAAGTACGTAGTATAACTGGGCACTGTCCTTGGTTCTCCCAGTCGTCGGTTTATCCTAACTCCTCTGTTTGCACTTTGCCCCTGGTAGACCATTTTTGATCATTTGATACATTTTCGTTATGGGTGCGAAATATTTACAGAGCCTCCGAACTTCATAGAGATGGCCAACCCTTAACCTGGCAGAGGGATGTAAAATAGATTACGAAACGTTTGGGTGCTGTCGGCGCGACTTGCCTTCCAGGATGGGGGACGCGTGATCTCCATTGCGCCTGGTTGGAGACGCTGCAAGATATATCTGCTAATCGATGCCAATGGCGTTCTTGTTGTCAGTTTCTATCCAGATTGCCTGAGTGTCTGGAAGTGTAGGCACCTCGGAATGATTGCATTAAGATAACACTAAGTCCCTTCCCTCTCCATCTTCATTATTTTCTTCACACTAAGGCTTTCAAATAAATCATGGGTGTACCGCAGGGAAGCATCAGGGTTGAACGCTTACCTCATGTTGTTAATGATGATGATGGTGAAAGCTTATAGAGGAGCTTCGATAGGTGTACCCCATATTTTGTGACTTAGAGCTCTGCTGTTCATGTATCCTATTTGTTTTGATTGGCTGAGGTCTACTAGCACCAGTATCGGTGCATGGATGCTCTACATGGAGTGAATACGTTACCGAATCGATGCGATTACGTCCAAAGTACGGATGCAGTTCACCATTTCAGGTTGGTCAGGTCAGTGGTGAGTGGCGCGTTGGTTGCCCTTCCCACTTAAGTGTCATTTACTCAATCGCCTGCCGTCCTCACGCCATCGGCCACCATACTGCTCACCGAATGCACTCGGGTTGCTTTGCCCATATCACTAGTCCTGGATCTGAAGAGCTCAGCAGTGACACGAATAAACGTCAAAACCAAGCCATAAGAATAGCAGAGATTATGTATGGCCGATGACCTCAGTGTTACGTTGGAACCTAGATAGTGGTGACCGGCTAGTCCAATACAGATTAAGGTCTATGGTTTTTTGGCCAATTTGCTGCAAATCACCAGTTTACGAGTAGCTTAGTTTACAATACGGAAGACTGCTGGTGTGTACTTCTGAACAAAATTGTTTTGCAAAGTGTGCATCTCATCGTTTTTTCTATGCAGTTTTTGCACAGTAAGTCGTTTTGTTGCACGTCAACTAATGGGATTGCCACTAGAATTAATGAAGTCTTTGGACTCTGAATTTGGAGTATTTGACTGTAGTCTTCTGGTGTTTGAGCTTTGCTGGTGGGTTTTCCGTTTATCCGGTCAGCAGCCAGCCTCTAATTTTCATTTCCAAAACAGGCAGTTTATTTGATATAGTCAGTAAACCCCAGAGTTCAAAAGAAGTATTTTTTCGGTAGGCTGAAATAAACTATTATCAATTCAGCAACTCAAGTCAGTGCAAATTGGTCTTATTTCCATTAAGTGTTCAACTCCTCTCCGGATGGCTTCGGGTTTGAAATTATCCTTAGATTTACAAAGTGCACGGCACGGTTGACTCCTGATAAGAATGAAGTCCATGACTTTCGAATCTATGAAAACCAAGATTTACTGTAAACTTTAATTGTTTGGTAGCAATATGTGCGTAAAAATTGTTTTTGGTTGCAGCTATAAACGATATCTTTGGGAAAATCCTGTACATTCTCTCTGTAACTAAGAGTTTAACTTCATGTCAGCTAACCACGTGAGCTGGTCTCTAAAGGATTCCTGTATCGACGCAATGTAAGGAACTTGTGTGACGGCTCCACAAGAGCTTTGCAATAGAAGTACATCTGTTAATCACGTAGCTGATCACATATCCGTTGTTGTCGGCTCATTCTGTTGAGACTGACGTCGTTCAGTATGTCTAGATATTCTTACACAGAATTAATCACCCTCATTTCGTGACTCGGCCCTAGTTTGAGTGTGATATCGGTAGTCTTATCGTCACGAAATCGCAGGTGTTTTTAATTTACTTCACACGCTCTTCTTCCAGATAAAACGACCATCACCAAATGCTTTCTAGCCTTCAGTGTACTCGCTTCCCTCGTCCTGCGTATGCCGTTCGCAAAGTATCGGGATTGGTTTGTCTACAATCTGGATGATATATTTGAAAATGGCTCCGTAAGCCTAAAGTTTTCCACTCAGTCAACTACCTTTCAGCTTTGGCGGTTGTTCCTTTGCAAACTGGCTTTTTTGAATACCAAAGATCTCATCTGTGGCGGACTGCTACTCTATTACTTTCGCATCTTTGAGCGTCGCTATGGTCCACGAAAATTCCTGGTAGATTCTGTTGTTCATGGTTGCTTTCTAACCAGTTTCGTCATAGTCCTACCTGTTTTATTGTGCAACGACAACCACGGTCTGTGAACTGTCGCTGGCAGCGGCGCTTCGGAGATGGCACTTTGAATTTCACATTCTCCCGTCAGGCCCGTACGTCGCTTCATCCTTGGCGCCATAATCTGTTCTTTTCCCATAGATACAATGTGATTTTCCCCTTTTTTATACCTTATTTTCTCGATATCCCTTGGTTCCCTATTGCCCATGTCATAGGCATTCCGATCACTGGAAAATCCTTCCCCTATCTATTTGGACTACAGGTGGGTCTTGAACTTCTCCAGTTTTTCCTAACCGTTGGTGTCTTCCTTTAGATGGCTACCACTTCTCCTGAATCCTTGTTTCTTTGTGTTTGTGGACTGGTAAGTCCTCTCCGCATCAACAATTTATATTACTCCTTTCACCTATTAGTTTACGGGCCTACTGTACGAGAGGAATCTGCTTTCCATACAATCCAGATGGCTCTTTCCCGAACGTGTTGTACAATTTGGCTCTCAGTTTATATGTCCACTTGTTGAAACACCTCCGCCGAAACACTTGAACAAACCGCTTGGGGCCACTTTGGAACTTCAACACCAGGCCGAATTGGACCGGAGGGAGTTACAGTTTTTAGAAGCCAGGCGCGCTGTCATACAGTCATTTGCTTTGAACGCACATAATCGTTTGTAGTCCATCGCCTCGCCATGCTAGGGAAGTCTACTTCTACTCGAAAACAATATGCATTTAATCCGTGTTTGCCTCGCTCTTTCCCTGAGTGCTTCCTACTCGCACTTCACCTGTTCGTTCCTACGTAGACTTCCACTGTTCTTGCTTTGCTTGATTTCCTCATCTCTCACTTCACATCACGTGTATGGTCCTTGCTTCGTCTACCCTTTCGTTCCTCCAACCATCCTCAGTACTGTCTTATATTGGTTCAAATATCTGTTGCACCCAGCGATGGACTTTGACTTCGCTAAACCGGAATGATTAGACTTTTTGATTTGACTATAATTTTGCTACTTTTATCGATTGGATCACACCAGCTATCTAATCTTTTGTTCGTTAGTAAAACAGGCTGCATAATTCACAGCAAATGTGTCTTTCACGTTAAGCCCAAATCTGGCTTTTAACTCCAAGAGTGTACATTCGGGCACAATCGATTTTACATTCCAATCGTTTTGGAAACTGATTAAAACCAATTCTGAAACAGCAAGATGCACTGTATCGCGCGAAGCCGTAATCCTACAACAGCGCAAGCGGATAAACCAAGCAGACAATTAATTTCCCGTGTGTGAGACTGCTTCATGGACAGGTTGCCCATATTTATACAGGAAGGCGATTGGGGGCTCCGACCAAACGCTCTGATCCAATAGCCTCCACGCGAGACGGCGGCGCTTGGCGGTAAATGCCAGTGAATTACGTTTTTGAAGAGCGAACCGCTGCAAGTGTTCTGATCCCCAACCTGGGGTGTTAGAAGATTGTTGGTCAGACCTCTAACCACTGGCCAACCAGTGGAAGTGTCGTACGGGCACCCCACAATATACCTCCATGGGTCACGGAGGCACACAGAAAGGCATACCATGGTAGCGTTCAGTCTCTTCGTTACGTTGAAATGCCAGAGGGACTCTGAAAAAAACGCCCTTCCAATTTACCGTAGATTGCGACCTCCCAGCTGGTCTTTGAAGACCACACCATTCGGCCACAATTGACTGATCAGCTCTTTTCGCGATTCTCACAAGCGATCTCCGTTATTGGTCGCTTGCTAACGGGTTTATTGAGTAGCGGCTTCTCAGATGGAAGGCCCTTGCAACGCATGAGGTGTTTTTTCTGAACAGACGGTTTAATGTGATAGCAGTAAGCGACGATTTTGAAATCTCAGTCTGGGTTTTGCCTTTCAGGTTGAGTCGATCTCTGCTGGAAAGTTGAGAAACGTTGCACAGCAATGCGCAGCTCTCAGATCTCTACTGTGATCCTAAGTGCAACTGAATTGCACTGCTAATCAGCCACTCGTGGCCAGACGGCACTAGTCTTCAGGTCACGAGTTCATATCTCCATATAGGTTCGGGATGTGGGAACTGCGGACGATTCCCAACAAGACTGAAACAGCTGTACAAAGCCTCTCATTTTCTCGGCATAGACTGACCTCAGTTGCAAAATGAAATCCCGATTACAGATTCAAGTGCACAACTGTTTAAACTTGTGATTCATGATACGTCTGGTTCCAAATAGTCATTCTGCTCCTCAAATAGAGCTGGCATCTTTTATGGCTAGACAACAATCTAGAAGAACTAAAGAACAAGAGTCTACAAGTTAATGGAGATCAAACATGAATGGTCTGTATTGAAGAGGTCCACTCTCCCTGAAAAGACAGCTGTGTTTCTATCTGATTCCCAAACCAATTTCAAACAACCTTTCTTTGTTTCGCTGTACGATAAATGCGATCACAGTTTCAAGGCTTGTTTGCAATTTTCAACACAGATTACCTCGACAAGCAGTCCGTGAAGGTCTAACACATGTGTAAAAGCCTATACATACAATATGGGCTTTTTAGTACCACGCCAAGCTACTATCATCATTAATTTGAGTCCTTTGCTTTGATGCGGCCTCCACGGGCAAACATCTCGTTAGATTCTGTGTGGGTGAAGCAAGATTACTATGATAACTGACCCCATCGGAGACGTCTGGTTCCGTATAAACAGATAACGATAAGATCGTGGTAGCTGAACGCAACATTCTTGCTCAGCCTTGTTTCATTGGTCTATACCCTTTGGTCCCTGTGTCCCTGCTCGCGCCAGTTCCATGTGCTGACTGGCGGCTGGCACAGAAGATGCGCGAATACTTTAGCTAGCTTAGTGTTTAGTAGTACTTAAACTCATTCATAGAGTTGTCTGTTGTGAGCTCGACACGGTCACTTAGTGGTTTGAAGGCCACGCTGTTTTGTCCCCAACAACCAATCTCCCTCATTTACAGGATTCTACAATCACTCGCTGTTCTTGTTTTCACATTGAGCAACGTGGTCTCCACTTGGTACAAACTAGATCCAGCCTAACGAAGTTATTTCAAACAATTTCACTGAATAGTTTGAAGACCATAACTTTGATCTGTCAACAAAACCGCCCTGTTTACCAAGTGTCTCTGTTGACCATAACTCCCGTTTAGCCGTCTGCTTGCTTTGCTAAAACTAACCGCTGGTACCCGTATGTTTATCGTATGTCGCAATTTTACAATGTGATTCTGATAAAATACTCGTAGTTCCCCCCTTTTGGGAGACGGGGAGAGAAAATGAAGACGAGAATAAAATAGAAATTCCGGCGAAATGCAGTAACACGTGATACCGGACTTCTCCAAATAGCTATTTAGGGTAGATAGACTTGGTAATGTGTGCGGACCAACGACAGAGGTTAAAAAGCGGAGACTGGTGAAGGAAGAACCCCGATAGACAAGTGGGTGGAGAGTAAAAATGAGGAAAACCTATCTACTAGGCGTATCTACAAAAGTTTATTCGTTATAAGTTCGACACGGTCAGGAGATCCGTCGGTTACGTTGTGACGAGCGAGGCTCATTCACGGCACGTCTTCCATAGGCCAATGCGCCAGCACATCTTCTTCCAGCGCGGCGTTCACTGTGTAACGTCTGTGGGCGAAAAAAGCGATAATATGTGAATGAAGAATAAAGTTTCTTCCTGACGACCGACGCTCATTAGTTTAGGATAGGAACAAGGAAATTTGCAATACAAAAGACCCCTACGGGAAGTCACTGGATACATTGCTTGCAAACTAAACGTTTGAATCCGATATTGCGCACTGTTCCCTCATTTTACTTATCGTTATCCAAAGAGGAGCATAACGAAATCACATGGTAAAAACGCAGAGCCAGCCAAAATGGTTTACCTATCGTGAAATATACGTCCTTAGCTCCACAATCTTTTGGAAAATAGATTAGACACTTCAGTGGACATGGCAGCGAACCCACTAAGGTATTCTTCCCCCATTTTCCCGTACCACAGGTGACAGTGTCGCTAACCTCGGCATACTGGCTATTCACAGTCATATTTATACGGCTGATCTAAAGATCACCTAGTGAACACTTCCTCTTACGAAGCCACCACCTTTTAGGACAGTAGTGTGCTCAGTGGACTTGACGGCAAGCTAAGTAGGTCCATAATTTCTTTCTTGTATAGACTGCCAACTATGAAGACACTGTTCCGTGGTTCACGGAACCTTTGTAATGACATGCTGCCTATCTCTCACTTGGTAAGCTCATAAAACATGAGGCAATATAACCCGACTCTTATGAGTTGCCCGATCGAAGTGTTCAGCCATGCGGTAACGGAAAACGTAGTGTAAGTGTATACCCAATACTCCTAAAGATGAGATATAACTGGACTACTACGGACTTCTGGGAAGTATGAATCAAGTGTCATTGCTGAGCCACCATCCTCTAGGCAGTACCGCTCTCCATTCCGCCTTGTACTTTTTGCCCTTGCTATGAGCTACTGACAGCAATCAGTAGTCAAAATGTAAGCAATTCGAAGTCAGCTACCTCGGGCGGTGAACAACCCAAGCTCAGTGGAGGTCTTCTGGCTGATAGGGTAGTGACCAACGAGACTATTTCGTAAGGACTTACGCTGTTGCTTCCACCACATTGCTCAGCATATCCGTGTCAATCACTCCGTCCGTAAATGACTTAAGGATATCCAATGACTGTGGTAAGTTGTACATATCACACCGGACTCCCGTGTAGCCAGTTCGGCAACTGAGGGGTAGGAATGAGAAAAGATAGAAATCACATTAAACTAAAAAATGTGGGGTTTCGGCCAGAGCGGACCTGAGAAAAACAAATAAAACGATAAATTCTGGCAACGTTAAACGAACTCAAAAGGTTTTAGGAATTTTGTGGCTTTCCGCATCACCGTAACAGGTATTACTCAGTCTTGTCATCTTCATGATCGCCGAATACGGTAGTTCGAACGCTGATCGATAGGTCGGGTAGTGGCGCAGTGTGATTTCGTGGCTCCCTATCCGTTTTTAGACTCACCAACTTGCTTTTTCTGTTTTTTGCTCGCACTGTTTTTGTCTCTACCTGCTGAGTTCAGGCTTGTCTGACCTAAACTCAGTATTCGTTCACAATCGAATCTTTCTACTGACAGCAAAACTCTGCAGGAAATTTGAATCTGCGTCATCAGATAGCGGAAAGTGACCAAATTCGAGCGCAAATATGATCGTACAAAATAAGTTTGTCCTGACAGGTCACGAAGAGCCAAACTCGTGTTAAACGTCACCTTTTGGGCACACGGAATTTGAAGCTCTGGGTCGTAACTCTGAGTAAGTCATTTATGTTGCATCTAATCAACCGATAAAAGCGTGACTGCTGTAAGTTTTGGTAGGACAATCGGAAGGCTACAAGTTTAAACAACGGGGCTCCGAATCGGACAATACTGGAGGTGGATGTCTGGAGCGAACGGGTCATTTTGATAGGACGTGGGAGTTGATCTGATAACAAGTGGCAGATGGTCAAACGAAAAACGTCTCGACGGTGCACCTGCGAGTGGTGGATAATGCTTGCCTTTAGTTCGGTTGGTTTCCTTTGGTTCAGGCGGGCGATAAATCTGAGTTGCCTTGGTTCATTCTACTGATAAGATGTAAAGTGGCAAAGAAATACTTGCATAAACATGGGATATGTTCGCCTCGAAAGTTAGTTTACTATGATTGTCACCGTCATTATATATTCTCTTGGAAATTCCCTAATAGGTCGTACTGGCAGGAGGCACAGGCCATCGTTCATCATTATGGTTTGTATGTTCCCTTTAAGAACAAAGAGAAGAAAAATCCGAGAAATAGAGCTCACATTCATATCACTCTCGTTTGAACAGACGTCCTCCTTTGCTGGCCTAATTATTGTGGTAAGTCCACACCAAAGGGGGAAGCACTGGTTTCGAGTATTGCTCTTATTAGAGCTCGTTAGGGATGTATATCCTATGGCTGTACTTGTGTTTGAACTCCGGATATCTGACATGCGGGAGTGAAGCGAATGTGAACACTACATTAGGCGCATCCACCCACAAAGTAAAGAATTGTCTTATAGAAATTTCGCGTACTGCGGCATCTCAGAACTCAGATTGAACACCAGTAAGGCGCGATCGTCGGTCTGATGATTCAGTTTCGTCCGATTCACTAATAACCCTGTAGTGTGCCAGCTCTCAGAGCTCATCTGATTGGGCTATACACACGACTTCGAAAAAAACAGTTGAGCTCACTCTCAAATGTTTCCAACCTTAGCCGGATTTTCTTGATTATGATACTCTACGTTCCAACACTAACATAACATACGCGCACGCCGGTATCTCGCCACAGAGACGGGGTCATTAAGAATATGTCGTTCATCGATAAAACTATCCGGTGTGTTGGTGAGTCTCTCCTATGACGCCGAAAGTATTTCAGAAAAGAGACGCACCACTAAGATGGTCGTACTTGAGACGGAGAGTCACCTATACCCCGCATCGACGTGCAATCGTCGCCTCAGATATATCCATCACATATAGCGAATAATTTAAAAATACCACTTTCTTATACACGGAAAGACAAAACTGGTTAAACAATAAGTTGAGTGAACGTGTGTGAAGGTTTATAGGAACGAACAAAATCGTCCTGTTGGATTCCCCCCCCCCTCCCACTCTAAAAATGTTTGTTTTTTGTGCCATCAGATTTCATGTACCTCTATTGTTCCCGCAGTGACATATGCTCAGTCTGATAACTTTGTTAATCTAAACCCATTATATAACTGGTCATGACAAATTGCATGAGAACATTAACGTCTATCGAGTGGCCCATTAAAGCCTTCCTATCAATTCTCTGTTCCGCTTTCGGTTTCACCATAACCAATTTGTATCTTTTTAACTTTGGAGATCTCCAAAAATCATTGATTACTCCTCTAAAACCACTTAACACCTTGTCGCAACTGTTCCTACTTCCGTGCCTTTAAAGTTTATTGCGAAAGAGCAAAAATGTCTGATTCCAGCGTACCATCTAGGTTATTTTCAGTAAAGCATTATTCGTACCAAAGGAGTGCACAGACGATCGTTTGATACACCCTCCTAGTCAAGTAAGAATCATTCTGTTAATACATCCAGTGCGTGAATTGTGCATCCTGGTTTCGGTCGGGAGGGAAATTTTAGAGGGGTGTTGTTGAGAGTCGACGGTTTTTTTTCCAAAGGTCTCCAACGTTCAGGTAAACAAGGTCCTTTTAGGTTTGGACAAGTTATCATTGAGAGGGACGTTTGCGAGGGAGACCGATATGCTTCGTGTGCTTCGTATTTCGTTTCGCATTTCCATGCCTGGATGATGAAATACAAGGTAGCCGACAACTCCCCGAAAATCCAGCCATATAGCTGCAGTTTCCGTGAGTTTTTTTCTGAAAATCCGTGTTTCTTTCGACAAAGTCCACCAAATTTCGCGATGCGCAGAAAACAGCGGCTCTTGCCGATAAGCTTCGGGCACATGTTCTAAGAAGCAACACTTCACAGCAATGACCTCGTTTTTTTGTTTTCACCCCGAGTGGTGTGCTGATTTCGTTGAGGTGTGAGCGGTAAAGCCCGAGATTCTCCCACCAAGTTCGCTAGTTGTGCTACCTATGCTGACTCTGTTTGACTTTTCTGTTCTGTGGTAAGTGGTGAATTCGGGAAACTAACGGCAGTCTGGAGACCATAAATGTCACCTCTACGGAAAAAATAGGGGGAAGGTTTCACAGTTAATCTTAACAAACAACAAAAATCCAAAAATCGTCATTGGATCACTCAATGTTCCACAAGATGTCCAGTCAAAGTGAATAAAATCCGGCAAAAATTTGTTCTCCAGGTTTCAAAAACCAAGCAAAAAGTACAGAACGAATGATGTCGCACTAAACGGCATATAAACAACAAAACGCATGAAAACGGTGTAATAATGATTGTTTCATCTCTCCAGTGGAGACAAGTAAGCTGGAGTTAATACACTACTCATAAGGTTGCTGAAAATTCTCCTTAAAAAACACAAACTGGAGGTTCAGTTGGGTTCCAGGTGAGTCTCAGAAAAACTAAATTGGTTTGAAAATGAGTGTATTCCGCTAAGCTAGAGTTATTGCAGCCATTTCGCCCGGAGCATGTTGACATAGTTAGAATGCGCGCCTGAATGACCTCTTGATTGTTGTTGCCCTAATTCCTTTCCAGAACAGCTACCGGGTATGGAGAGAAATTGACCGTTCCACACTTATATGCTTGGGATGCCAGTATATGACACAGGTCTCCAAACAGTTTACACACCACCTGGTTATCTACAGTGAAACTAATAGAGGTGCATCGCCTTGTTAAACGTCAGCTCATGAGTGCTGGTGGCAGTAAGTAGCAACAAACTTGTCTCGCGATATACCGATGTTTGTGTTAGATTCTTGGAAGTTTGCAAGACAGTCACCAAGCTCACCAATCTGTCTAGTTCACCATCCTGTCCTGACGTCCTGTCTAAGTGTTAACCAACCAGAAGACACTCTGATCCCAAAAACTTATTTAAAATGCTCAAATGCATGGGATACCACAATTTTTCAGTAGTTCGCTCTGTACTGTGGTTTTGCTCGTGTCCGTCGTCGGACACAACATGTGTGACATTTAGCAAGCGCGATTAACCACCATCTGACTGACTTCACAAGCCGTTGTAGCTCGTAAGTTATAGGGGAAGATATTAGGCCTGATTTTTATCAATAAAACACTGTCATTTTCAAACAGTATGACTTATCTGAAGTCAGTTTATGGCAGTAGTGGATGTAACACTTTTAAGAATGCTTCGCTTCGTCACCACTTGATTGACGGTGTAGCGGTTCACCGCCCAGATCGCACGAAGCATCTTGTAAGCCGACATGAGTAGATTAACGTGGAAAACTGTCACTTAAAGTCAGAGGACCAGAACGCAAACTAAAACTGTTCCACGAGAGAAAGATTCGCACTAGCAACTCAACTAGATATCTATCGAAATTTGTCACACAAACAGGAAGACAAACCGGGACAAAAACCTTATCGCCGAAGAGGGCAAAGGAACAGCCACTCTTCTGGAGTTAGGTGGGAAAGCGACACATCAGTTTGATCACCGGTTTCTTGAAACCACAACTGAATATCCACGGTTCATAACTAAATTGAAGGAAAACTGTTCATATCCTGTCATTCGTAAACATAAACATTCGTAAACATCCTGCACCTATCCGAAAAACGTACTTTGTTCTGACCGTCTGCTGACTAGAGTAATTTGGATACTCGTGAATAATCAGACTGTTCATCCTCACAAGGGACCTTGTAATTATCAGGCTTGTCTGAAGCCGCTCACGCCCTTGTGGAATAGAAACACCCCGCATACCTTCGAAAATCAATACTAATCGACCTGTTTGCTGTTGACACAATAAGTTAAATGGCAACCTCGTCCAAGAGGAAGTCAGAAGGTCATTTGTTGTTAGAGTTGCACTGCTCACCTGGTGGTAATTGAAGGAACACTCGAAGAGCTCTTTCTTTGTTTTTTTTTTAAAGCCGGTACAGGTGGTATCTGTTTGGAAAGTGAAAGCGTGGCTCTTGGATTCCAATTAGAACCTCAACAAAACCCCAAAACAGGATGACAAGCATACCAATGGCCATGTTCATTTTATCAGGTATGCACAACAGGCCAGTTGTTGACTTACGCGCACCGGCATGTAACGTTACGCTTAAAATTGACCATAAACCGCATGTTTTCCGGTCACGTGAA